GAGTAGGAGTTTATATGAATGTATCTCTGAGGGGAACTGACTATCTTTAGAAAAGTTTACGTTGTATTTTCTTTTCATCTTGCCTGAGTTGCCTCTGAACAATGCATATTAAAGTAGAGTTCATAAACGCAGCTCTGCTTTGTTTACAGCGGTAACCCAGGAAACACTGTATCATTGCTGTTCATAAGCGCCACCTGCTGTCAGAGAGTGAATCTGCGTTTTATTCTGCTTGTCTGCTCTTTCGTTCAAATATGTTTTATGTAGTATAGTTTCACAAAACTAAAGTCAGACTACTCTGTTTTTGCTTCAAATTAGTCTAATTTAGATTAAAAACTACTCATGCTGCATGTAGCCTATGCTGCATCTTTGTTTGGATCATGATTCAAATCCAGTGGTTGCCTCTAATTTTAAATGGAAAGAGCACAGACAAAGCCTTAGTTTGTTCATATTAAGAGATTTCTTTTATTTGTGTAACTTACTTGTTTGATTTGGGGTTTGTTTTAAAATTTCAATTTAGGGAAAGAGCACAGACAAAGCCTTAGTTTGCTAAGAGATTTCTTTTATTTGTGAAACTTACTTGTTTGATTTGGGGTTTGTTTTAAACCCCAGTTTATTAGTTTTGTTATATTTCAATTTCACAAAGAAACGTGCAGTAATAGCCTAATAAAACGACACCTTTTAATTTACTGTATAATGTCTTCAATCTCATTTTGTTAAAAAAAATTGTGAGAAAATCGAATTGTGAAATCAAAATCGTGAATCAAATCGAATCGTGTGTTGAGTGAATCGTTACATCCCTAGTGTTCATGGCTTTACTTGGTGTGTATAAGGTTTAAATAAAAGGTGCACTGTGGAACTCTGTCCTCTATCACCATCTGTGGTTGAAATATAAAATTGCAAGTTAATTGTGGAGTTGTTCTGTTTGTCTTGCTATTACTTATTGGAATTGTGGATTTTTACCCAAAACCTTCCATAGTTCACCTTTTATGTATACAGGAGAAAAAAAAACATTATAATGATTAAGTTAAATAATAAAGAAAGAAAAACAGAGCTTTTTACAGAAGCTCTTATTTCAGTAACACCCCTTATTTATATTTCACCCATAAATGAAAATCTACTGAACACCCTCAGGGCATCCATCCAGCATGTAAATTAGTTTGTTTCCTCATCATAAAAGATTTGGAGAAATTTAGCATTACATCACTTGGCTTTGCAATGGATGCTGTCAGAATGAGAGTCTGATAAAAACATCACAATAATCTACACAACTCCAGTCTATCAATTAACATTTTGTGAAAAGCTGTGTGTTTGTAAGAAGCAAATCCATCAAGACATTTTTAACTTTAAACCGTTGTTTCCAGCTAAAATACTTTATCCATAATATTGTTTTCTCCAGTGAAAATCTGAATCAGGAGAGAAAAATGAACAGATCGAGCACTATTTATAAGTGAAAACAGTCCAAAATGTATATGGACTTTTTCACTGGATGACTCGTATTTTAGCCAGAATTGATCAACTAGATTCATATGGATTACTTGTGGACTATTGTGATGTTTTTATCAGACTCTCATTCTGATGGCACCCATTCACTACAGAGGATCCATTGATGAGCAAGTGATAAAATGCTAAATTTCTCCAGATCTGTTCCAATGAATTGGATGACTTGGAAGACCTGGGAGTGAAAAAAATTTCAGCAAATTAACATTTTTTGGGTAAACTATTCTTTTAAACATGAGGTATCTTTACTGTTTGACAGTGTCAACATCTCAAAAGTGAAATCCAACATACCAGTCCAAATTGTTTTTTTTTTTATGAAACTTCTAAAATGATTTTATTTCATTTTCAATTATCCATTTAAATGACTATTTTCACACATGGTATCAGGTAGTCATTGATTGACAGACAGTTTCCCAACCCTGGTCCTGGAGAAGTCCTAAAAGTAATTTATGAAACACTCATTTCATAAGTTTCCAGACTGATGAGTTGAAACCGATGTGTTTGATTAGGGAGAATCCTAAGACCATGGATGGGAAACACTGATTTATGTACTATGATCGGTGCTTTGCCTTTATGCATAGTAACCCCAAAAATAAACAGCCACAGACATCATTATTAGGGCATTAGCATTGACTAAATACTTCCACAGTGGGTCTTCACTTATGTCAGGTAATTGTTTTGATGCTTCATTCACTTCCTCCTCTGTGGGCTCTGGAGCCTGAGTATCATTTATGCCGCAAAACCAGCCAATGATCTTCATCGTTATGGATCGGTCACCATGTTCAACTAAGGCAGAGAGCAAATTATTAAAATGTATGCCATTACTCAAAGAATGTAGTTTGACCTACACCAGGGGTGTCCAATCCTGCTTCTGGAGGCCCAAGGATTCTGCAAAGTTTTCCTCCAACCTGCCCAACACACTTGCCCGGAAGTTTTTTTGTTATCCTTAAGACCTTGATTAGATGATTCAGGCGTGTTTAATTAGGATTGGCGCTAAACTCTGTGGTAAACTATAGTGGTCCTTCAGGAGCAGGAGTAGACACCCCAAACCTACGCATACATAAAATATACATTTTATCTACAAAAGTAGTTTTCTCTAAATCATCTTACTTTGATCCTCCTCAGATACGACCTTTTTCTTTTCCTCTGCCTCTCTTCGAGCTTTCCTTCCTCGTTCCTCCTCTTCCCAGTCCAAATCGACCCTTTCTTCTTTAGAATGGCGTAAGGTAAAGACAAGGCGATGGAGCTTGGCAAAGAGAAAAGGTAAATGTTATTAATATAGAGAAGTATCCTCAAGTAGCTTCAGCAGTAGCTAAAACATCTTACATGTTTGTCCTCTATGGGTGGAGTGTTGTTGCTAATGAAAAGCACCAGAATAGCAGTGCAGAAGAAGAGCAACACTGCAAAATAAAGGTAATGAACTCCACATATAAGTTTTGGGCATTCGGAGGGAAAGAGGCAGCTTCCTGAGCCATATGCAAACTCGGGTACCATACGACACAGACCCATTACCAATCCTCCTATCAGGCCCCAGAAGGCTCCCTAAGGAACAAAAGGTAAAGATGCAAGCTTTTAGTCAATTTGTGTTCTGAATGATGTGGCATTAAACGAAGACGAAATATGTTTAAAGCAGACAGTTACTTACTGACTCATTGACCCTCTTCACAAAAATGGCAAGGAAAAAGACAGCTGCAATAGGTGGAGCTAAGTAACTGGTCACAGATTGAATATAATCAAACAGCTGACCGCTCTGGGCTGCCTGGACAACTGGGATCCAACAAATGCTAATGCAATTTGATTTGTACGAAAACATATTTTTAGGAAAAAGAAAGCACAAAGTTCCGCTCCTAGACACAACCGTCAATGGGTTGTAAGCAGATTTTGTTTTAGAATTATTAAAGCTATAAATTGAATGGTTCCAAACCTTCCTACAATCATGAGCTCTTTATCTCTAGCTTGAGGCCGGATACGAGTCCAAATGTCCATGGTGAACAAGGTACTACTGCTGTTGAAGATAGATGCTAGTGAGCTCATGAGAGCTGCTAACATGACTGCCAGCATTAAACCTCTGAGACCTGTTTAGGGATTGATTAGAGGAGAAAGAAAATAGAAAGACAATAAAGTGTAAACCGAACAGCTTGTTAATTCAGGTAAACTCATATATTAATTTTGTATAAGGGTTAATAATAATTTAAAAACACAACATTAATTTAAAATTACCTGTCGGCATTACAGAAACCACTAGTTTGGGGTAGGCAATGTTGGAGCAGCCAACTGCTGTGCCACACACCTCCTTACAGATGCTTGGCTCCACACAACCTACTTCATCTATATATGATTTGATTAGATTTTTTAATATTGGTATTCCTTGATCAATATTGTAATTATAAAGACGTGGTATTAAATATGTTCAAATTAAAGTGCATACCAGGGTAAAGCACTCTGCTGATCATGCCTGGAAACACCATGAGAAACATAGGGAGCAGTTTCAGGTACCCGCACAATATACATCCGGCCTTTACATGCGTCAGACTGCGGGCGGCCAAACAGCGCTGCACAATTACCTGCAGAGTACAAAATGTAATGTAATGTGAAAAATTAAGCAACGAAGATGACAAGAGTTACATATGTAGAATTCTTTATCCTTAAAATATTGTCCTCACCTGATCAGTACACCAGTACCAGCTACCAATAATTGCAATGCCAAACAACACACCCGGCCATGGCAGGTCCCCAGTCGTGGGATCCCTAAGTAAATGAAAGGCATCCTCGCGTGGAGTGTAACAATGTTCAGAGATGTTTAAACTCCTCTGAGATGGCAAAGATAAACTATACTTCTCCAGTAAAGCACCGTATCCTCCAACTTCATAGAAGGCTATTGACAAATGGGGGACAACACAAAAATCAGTTTATAATATACTATTTCAGTTGTACTAAGATATTCTGTTTACATAAGTACTTATTTTTAAATTTCATTTCATTGAGTCAACTTTTGCAAATTTATATGAGGTGCAGTATGACTTTGATACAAAAAAAATGTATAAGTGTGGACTGAATACTTAGACATACAATATATTTTACTTTTAAAAAAGTTTTTACTACTACAATGTAAGAAAAAAAAACTGTAGGAAAATGAAAAAGGTGCTTGTAATTTTCCGCCATCATATTATCCATTAAATTTGTGGACATTTCCTTAACCCTAAACCACAACACAATTCAGTGTGTAAATACGTGTAAAACACCTGTGAAAAATCAATATTGAAAACAACTCCATATTAACAATACAATGGGTCCTATTTTACCTGACTTTAATACTACTAGTTAAAACTTTTTTACATTTCAGATGGTTAGTGCTTAAACTTTAAGGGAAAAAAATTAAGAGCACATGCTGTCTTTTCTAAAGAAAATGTCATTACATTGTATCATATGTAAATCATCCAACTTTTGATACTTACAGAATCCCACGAGGATGAAAGCTCCAGCAATGATAACAAAGGTTTGGACAGTATCTGTATACATCAGCGCAGCCAGTCCTCCTACAGAGACATTGCATGTCAAATATTAACACATTTTGTGGACCGAAGGCACTCAATAGATGATTTGTTCCAAAAAAGCTATTTAATATCTATATAATATATAACTATGCTATGGTCATGGGTTTGATTCCCAGAAAAGAATCTGACCAAACACATATCTTCAATGTTTCAATCTTCAAAGTTCCTTTGGATGAAAGTGTCTGACAAAGGTGGAAAAAAATTGTTTTTACCTGTGACAGTATAGAGTGCTGTTATGCAGAGCAGGGCAATCACTGCAAGATAGATGTTCCAGCCAAGAGCCTGCTGTATAAACACTGCTCCTGAGAACATGTCAACCTACGTTCAGTGAGGAGAGGAGAAGTCATAGAGAGAGTGAATTGGTGCCCTTTCTTGTGAGTAACAAGGAAATTATGATTATAGTGTTTTATATTATCCAGACATGTATTTATACTTACAGAAATCTTTGTGAAGATGTAAAGTAAAAGTGAAATGACAGAAAGATACAAGCTAATTCTAGTCCCTCCAAATCTCTTCTTGAGGTACTGCGGCATTGTAATCACCTTTTATAAAAATAAAAAAAAATGGATGTATAAATTTCTTTCACTCATATTATGCAAATAAATATTTGTCATCGAAAATATCACTATGAAAAATGAACATACCCCTGCAGTTAAATAAACAGGGACGAACACCCAGCCCAACAACAAAACAATAAATAATGCCTGTGAAACAAATCACAATCTGTTTAAAATTTTAATAATGACAAAGCACATTTGATATATATTTAAATATCTAACTTACATTCCATTCGAAACCCCCAACAGCTATTCCACTTGCAGCTGCTGTTCCTGCAAGACCAACAAAATGACCACTGCCAATGTTGCTCGCAAAAAGAGAAGTCCCCACCTATGTGTGCCATGTGCGGGAAATACATACATAGAAAAAGGAGAAACCTTTAAAAGAAGTATTGAAAGTCACACTTTTTATTTTCATACAAGAAGGGGGTAGATATTGCCACAAAAGTGTGTGACTTAACATTAACATTTTTTTTGAAGTTTTTAATTAGACTTTTAATTATTAAATACTCACAGGCCACCATACCATGGTCCGACCTGCAAGAAAGTAGCCACCTACTGTGCCACGATTAGTCCTAAATGTAGACTAACATGGGGGGAAAAAATCATAAATTCAAAATGTAATTCTGTTAAAAGACATATATATCAATTCACAGTTATCTGCCACTTTAAAACACATAAGACCAAGTTTTTCACTAACCCAAATTCCTACTGCAATAACCACCAAAAAGTAGGCAATGATCACACTGATGTCAGCTGGATTGTTGATGGTTACATGTTTCGCTGTAGTGTTTTCCATTTTTTAAAGACAGACAGACACGATGCCGATATCATTTATGAGATGACAAGGCATGAAACAAATCCAAACAGATGAGGCACTTGAGGAAAACTTTTCTTCATACAGGATTTGAGGGTAAAATCCACGATCTTTGCCCACATGACAAAAAAAGCTGATAAAGGAATATTATTAACAACAATAATTAACTTATTACTAGCCACTCAAGAAAGACAGTTTTAGGCATTAAATGCTAAACCTACACCTTAGCTTATGCTGTGGTACTTTTAGTAGAAAACAAAACAATGTAGTACATAAATGATTAATTATAGAATTCTTTTAAAAGCATATGAGAAGGCATTAGTGTTTTTCAAAAACAGAGAAAAACCTTTGAGCAGACTACTCAAAATGTGTCATCATGAAACATTTCAATTACTTTTTAAAAGTAATTTTCAAGTAATAACATTATGTACTCACGTTTGTTATTCCTTATGTGCATTAAAATAGACTCCTGAAATTCTGACTTAAATTTTCCATATTCCGTATCCATGTTTAGAGTACTGTACAAACATAATAGAGTAACAGGCTAAATGATGTGCTACAACATGATTTAGCTTTTTGCATTTTATTAAATTTTCCTAAATTAAAGGTTGTATTTCTCATCAATATATAACACCTAAAAAAATGTTTAGTATTCATGGGTTTAAAAAAATGGCACTTGATTAATAGTCACTGGTCTGTACATTAAAAGTTACAGTTCCGACCTTATTTGGAAATCACTAAAAAGAGGAGGGATAAACGTTTCCATGGATGATCAGGTTGTGAATGCATCAGTTGTGTCACTAAGGTCTGGTTAATAATCTTGCACTGTGGTGTGTGACGTTATCACTATTTCAATGCTATTCAAATGCAACAACAACTCACTTGTATTTGCAGGACAAGCAACAAAGTAACATCTGTTCAATTTATTTAATGCAAACCAGAGCACAGACTTTCCATTCAAACAATGTTCAATATTTGACAATTCTAGGTCTTTAAAAACAAACAGACCTGTTTGACATCAGATGAAAATAGAGTCTCTTTGTCTCTGAGAAAATGTTACTGCAAGACAAAATTACAATAACTTCGAAATTGAAACAAAATGAAATCAATCATACAAAAAGCAGTCATTTGGTTTCTGTTGCGAGTATATGCTTTAAAACATTTCAGATGAGATGACCAGCTGAACCCAAAAAGATGCCATTAAAGGTGGGGTAAGCGATTTTTCAAAAACACTTTAGAAAACCGATTCGGGCCGAATAGCAAAACAAACTTGTAGCCAATCAGCAGTAAGGGGCGTAACTACTCAGGACGTGGAGGAGAGCGCGTTCAGTGCACGGGATGGACATTAGCCAAGCCGAGCGACAAAGATAGAGATGGAGGATAAAAAAACAAAAGAGGAAAACGTCTGCGGAACAAAAGAAGGCTTAAGGCAAGAAGTAGGACCAGTGTAAATATCAGATCAGCAGATATCAGAACTCAAGGAGCGGAAGGCCTGCGATCGGACGCCGAGGTTTTCTTCTCGATTGGTGAGTAACACCGTGTCTGCACCGCAACAGCTAAAGTCTGTCTAGTACACTGGACGCGACAAAGCGACCGTTGAAAATCATTTGAAATTCGTGCCAATACGTCATGAATGGAACACAGCAGTTTTGCTTTGTTTCACAGAACTAATCCGTTGCCTGGGTTGCGTACGTATGTGTGGGGTGGAGCTATCAAAATAGGGGCGAGACACTTTTGGGGTAGGGTCGTGTTTGTTTTGGTGACTTCAAATGTCAACATTGGCTACCAGAAATCGCTTACCCCACCTTTAAAGCACTACAGATATATATACTGATCCACTTCCTTGAGGGCAAGCTGAACAGTGCGTTACAACGATGTGCAGAAAATTAATCACTATGTCATCGTCATTCAGAGGTGTCCTCCAGAGATGTCCAACACCACAAAAATCACACAAGATACTTAAGGACTGTAACATAGATTGTGTTAATGTTAAGACTCATGTTTTGTTGCATTATTGTTCAATGCTAGTTCAATAATGTGAAATTAAAAGACAGAAATTTCAGTCAAAGCGAAAGTGTGTTTCTTGATTTCATTTGTTATCTTATAAAAAAAAAAATTGTGTGAGCTTGAGATTCTGGCATCAACTTAGCATGAATTCAGGACAGGTATAGTAAATGCATTTGTGAATTACATTTCATCTTAAGGTGATTTAAAATACAGTAGTTTGCAATGCATTAAATCTGAATAGCCACATCCTTTAGAATTACATAATGTTGTTCATCAGTGTTTATCATCTGGGTCTTCATCTTAGTTAAGACTGCATTTCATGAAACAAAATATAAAGCAAAAACAATTTGCAAATAAAACACTGTTTTCAGACCATTTGTTCAAGAGAAATAAAAATAATACAAAATGGAAACTGTAGCCAATAGAAGCCACTCCTTTATTAAATGTAATACATTTCTTGTGGTTGAGTGCACAGATAAAACACTCTTACAAACTTCATATGCTAGCAATCGCCTACAATGTAAAATTTCAGAATGGCCAGAGAAACATGTTTTTTTCCTTCTCTAAGCAAATTATTCAGTCGTATGATTTCGAGGCAAAGACATGTCTTTTGAATGCACATCTAACAATTTAATCTGCAAATGTATTTCCATCATAGTTTGTGCGCATGTGTTCTAAAAAAATTTAAAAAAATCATCCACCTCAAGCGAAGTGTATACATTTATTAAGCACATTATGCGAATTTTATTCACATAATGGTTTTTCCATCCAGAATTTTTCATGCAAATTTTGGGATATGGCATAAAAATGCTGGTTGATGGAAACCCTGGAAGAATCTCATGATGTTGCTTAACAGCTGTTTAACATAAGTGTAATTTGACAACACTGTCATCAAAAAACAAAAATGAAACAAAAAAAAAATGATAAAGACTTGAAGCTTACACTGTTTAGATCCCATATTAAGCCATTATGACTTTACAGTAGTAACAACTGCTGTTATGGTAGGAATCTAGATGTTCTAATGTGTGTAAAACTACATTCAGCCTCAAAGCAATATAACTTTAAGCAAAAAGGTTCAAATAATCAACAATGACATTTTACTCATTAAGTCAAACATATGTATAGCCTGTTTTTTTGCTGTGACTCAAACATTTTGTCATTCTCCAAGATGATACCATTTCTAAGATCAAATTTGGGCATCTATGAAGAATTATCATTATTAAGAGCAAAACATTCTGAAATCATATCCAAATGTTACATATACTTTCTGTCAATACTCAGCAAAGAAAAACCTGCGTTCAGCTTGCAGAAATGAAAGAATGAAATTCAAAACATCTAGACATCAACCAAGAGTAAAGATGTAAATGTAGGTGCATAAATGTTTCCAAAATGCCCATATGTCTAATTGAAAATCACACTTTCTGATTTGTCCTGTCGATCCGCATGACTCTGCACGACCGGGTCGGTCGTTTCTCCTTCCCACGTTTCTGTTGAGCAGCCCGAAGACGTGCTAAAATGTGTTTTTTGGGGAACTTAAGGGTGGTACATCCAAACTGGCTAACTCCTCCTGTATCCCCAGGTAATTTCTCACGTCTTTGGACCCAACTTCGCCAGCCAGGTTTCCAGCAGTAGACGCTGTCATAAAATCTCGATCCATTCTCACCACCCAATACATATATCCTGCGTTTCCATCTAGCCACACCTCCGGCAGCAATCCTCCTTGGCAGACCTGGAAAAACCACCGGACTAGGCGCACGGTCACTACCGCCACCCCCTCGCTCAACTCCAACCGCCACCTCCCGCTCTAATCCTGATCCCCGTCCTTCTCGGAAGAACAACACTCGTCCTGTGGCATCTAGTGGTTCTGCCTGGGTGTAGTTGCCATTGAGGAACTTGGCGGCATCACGCAAGTAACCACCAATGGCACAAACGCCGCCACGTACTGCTATGCCTCCAGCCAGGCAGGTGGCGCCAGAGTCAAGGGTGACACGGCTCCAGGTATTTGTAACTGTGTGGTATATAAGCACGCCAGCATGCACCACAGCCCTGCTCTGCTCCAGTGTGGTACCGCCAAGCAAGTAGAGACGACAGCGGAGGGCAGAGCAAGCAAAAGAACGCAGTGGCAATGGCAAACGAGGTCCTGATGCCCACGTCAGCGTGTTAAGGTCAAATTTTTCAGATGCGTCCAGAAATGCTGCTCGGTTACAGCCACCGAGAGCGTATAAAAAACCTCCGCAGCCAAGAAGACCCAACATCGCACGTGGTTCAGCCATCAATGGCTGCACGATCCAGCGGTTTAGCACGACATCGTACTCATGAAGTGCTGAGGAGACCTCGCCACTCCGCAGGATGCCTCCCGCCACAAACAGTCGACCTCCGACTGCAGTGCAGCCAGGACAAAGCAATGAGCCCAAGGCTGCCAGCTTCTCCCACTTCCCTGTACGAGGGTCGAAGCAATCCACCGTGAAGTCCCTTTTCTGTAAAGACTCATCCTCCCTTGGCTTAAGGTCTACACAGACTATTTTCTTCTCAAACATACCTTCTCTAGGCCTCAGCAGTCCTCCCATGCCCTCGGTACTGGCTCCAAGTCCAAGTTCTTGGTTCATTCGGTGGCTCTCTTCAGGGCCAAAAAGACCAGGGCGTAAATGGCGTAACAAATTGGGCATGTGAATGTAACGATCAGCCGGCTGGTATTCTGCCCAGCGCCTTGCTGCATCGTAAACTTCAGTCTCAGACTCCACACCCAATCGATCTGACTCCAACAAGCTGCCAAGAGTTCCTGGGTCCAACAGGAGGAAGTCTCGCTGCCGGGCCACTCGAGGAAAATGCTGGCCTACCAGCCTCAAAGAAGCCCGAAGAAGCAGCTGGTCATGATGTGAACGAGCCAGAGAGTACATGCCCAGGCAATTCTCCACAGACAGGTGCTCAAAAAGGAATCTAACAAACAGGGAAATAAAATGTGAGCCAGACAAGATACAAGGTAGAACAATCACAATAGGATCACATCTAAATTTTACCTAGAGCAAAGGTCCTGCAAGGGCATCACTTGAAGACGATTGGCTGCTACAAACAGATCTTCTGCTGTGTCGAGACTAAGACCTGCTTCCCCTGTATAAACAAAGTGGATAACTGTCTCCATAACAGAAGGTGTCACCTCCTCCAGTCGGATCTCAGTAAGACGAGACTCTACGAGAGGGCTGGTAAACATGGCACGGAAATATGGACTGACAGCTGCTAAAATAACTCTGAAAAAAGAAAAACAGTGCACATGTGTCAAAACAGAATAGTTTCATATGTACACTACCGTTTAAAAGTTTGAGATTGGTTTGAGATTTGTTATGATTGTTATGCAAAAATAAGTCCCTTATGCTCACCAAGTTTATAAATATTTTAAAATGTATTCTTGTGATGCGAAGCTGAATTTTCAGCAGCCATTACTCCAGCCTTTAGTATCACATGATCCTTCAGAAATCATTTTACTATATTGATTTGCTACTCAAGAAACATTTCTTATTATCAATGATGAAAACAGCTGTGCTGTTTTTTTTTTTGTGTGGAAACCATGACATTTTTTCCCAGGATTTTTTGATAAATAGAACAGGGTTTCAAAAGAACAGGTTTTTTTTTTTTAAATATAAAGTCTTTTGTAATATCATACATGTCTTTACTGTCACTTTTGATCAATTTATTGCATCCTTGCTGAACTAAAGTATTAATTTGTTTAGAATATCTTACTAACCCCAAACTTTTGAATGGCACCGTACATCATTATATTGAAATACATATAATTACAATCTTATCAACATACATAATTTGTCATGCAATTTAGTGTATATATACACCATTTTTTAAACGATTCAAGTTATATATATAAAAAAAATATATGTACAATGACAATCAGACAACCTTCAAAGCTGAAAACATAAAACTCACCTGTGACACATAAACTTTTTTCCCTCCACCACAAGAGTGACATCACACAACTGCTGAGCATCAAGCAGCTGTTTTAACCCTGAATGAGATGACAAAGGGAAAAACAAGGCTGATAAAAAGGTGGCTAAATGATTAATCAATGTCACTTTGCCACATTTGATGAATATAATGGCATTTGATTGTTTTGCTGTTTTTGAAGTACTGAAAAGTTTTTGTTTAATCATTATGGCAGAACTGGATCTCTGATGTCTATGTCTATGATCACTAGTGAAAATGCATCTATTTTACATTATTATTTAATTTAATTCTAATCTGACTTTTTATTACAAATGTACTTTATTTGAATAGTATAGATATAAATAGTATAGAATGAAACAAGAAATGTCATTATAGAATCCATAATTCTAAAATAACAATATACATAATCCAAACAATCAATGTTCAAAACCACAACCGTTGTCTCACCCTGAGTTACATATTCCCCCAAAGGAGTTGAGTAGTCATCAGGAAAATCTTCTTCCTCGGAGTCGCTATCTGAGAGAGGTTCTCCACCACCTCTATCAGCATCCTTCCATGGCTGTGGTCGCCAGGTAACCGCGTCACCTTTGACAGTATTCATCTGTGACAGGAAGTTAATTTAAAAGTACATTGTTTGTATCTGATGCTCATATAGTGACAGTACAATACTGTGGTCACATTTATAGTTCTAGGGCTGAGAAGTACTTGAGGCCTTGGGTTTGAGTGCCTTAGATAAGTTACAACATCTCGTGTCGTAACCCAAAGTCGGTTCGAGTCTCGTACCGGCAGGGATTGTAGGTGGGGGGAGTGAATGTACAGCGCTCTCTCCCACCTTCAATACCACGACTGAGGTGCCCTTGAGCAAGGCACCGAACCCCCAACTGCTCCCCGGGCGCCGCAGCAAAAAAATGGCTGCCCACTGCTCCGGGTGTGTGTGTTCACTGCTGTGTGTGTGCACTTTGGATGGGATAAATGCAGAGCACTAATTCCGAGTATGGGTCACCATACTTGGCCACATGTCACGTCACTTTTAAACTTCTCAGTGAAAATGTAACCCTTACATGTACCTCCGCTGGCTTTCGGTTCATCCCTTACATTCTTAAGCTGTTCTCTAAGCAATTACTTTTGTCTTCCTTCTCTAATCCCTTCATCAAAAACATAACATATTAATAAAAAATAAAGGTTAAAAAGCTGTTTTCAATACATACAATAAAAATACCGAATTATACACACCTGAATTATACACAATTCGTATGTCAAAACGAATTGTATCTTTCATGCTTTAAAAGGTATGCAAGTGAATCTCTGTAACTCATGTTTAGATTAGCAAAAATAAGATTAATCATATAATACAAGCATTGATTGAATATACAGAAAAAATATATTTTTTAAATTATTTTTATTATACAATTTCCCAAAAGCTATTTTATGATCAGAATATTAGTAATAGGACTACCAAAGTAACCTGATTCTTCATGCACCATGTGTAAATAAATACATTTTAATACAACACTGCAAAATTGCACGTGCCCTCCGCCCAAATACAAACCGCCTACTGAGCATACAACTCTTGCTCATTAAAATCATGTACATTTCGTAAATATTACCATTAGATGTGAAGCTTTCTATTAGAGAGTGGACCCCAGCAGTACAGGTCTAGGAGATGGATATTCTCGTATTGCTTGTGGTGTCTTGAGTTCGACTTTGTGTATCAAGGCTCTCAGGATGCCACAGTGGTACAGACGGCCTGACACTCTTCGGCCCGTTCACAACGCCTTGACCTTCCCGTGTAGTTTCAGTGCAAATTGGTCGGATCATTACGGTGTGTTGTCCATCCTTAGCATATGAGCACAAAAGTATACCCGCGCGCCTGATATATCCACATTGACGACCGCTGCTCCATGTAGATTATTAAAGGTTGGTAATCCGGATTGGCCCAAAGAAAAC